TGTTTGATTCATTGTTTTGTTCCTTTTATATTTTGTTTGGAGAAAACCCCAATTATTTATAATCAGAATAAAACACCCAAAAGACATTGTTGTGTCCTGCGCTTGTTTAATTTCACCAGGCCACAGACATAATATACATGTGTATATTATGTCTATGGTTTTACCCTCCCAGCCAAGAATTTTTCGTTCCAAGAACGTTCCGGTTACGTTCCAGTTTGTTTAGGAAAACGTTATCTTAGAACGTTCCAGTGATGTTTTCAGCTGCAAGTTTTTTAAAAGTTCCTAGAACATTCATATTGTGGGTGTAGGAACGTTTCAAGGTAACGTTCTTGGAATGTTTTGACAAAAACGTTCCTGGCATGTTTTGATAAAAACGTTCTTGGCATGTTTGGACAAAAACGTTCCTGGAATGTTTTAACAAAAACGTTCCTGGAGTATTTTAACAAAAATGTTCCTGGAGTGTTTTAACAAAAGCATTCTTGGAGTGTTTTAGCAAAAACGTTCTTGGAATGTTTTAACCCATTGTTACCATAACGTTTTTAGTTTTTCATTCCTACAACATTCTTTTGGTGGATATTATTATTATTATTATGTTTGTACATAATGTTTTTTGACCGAATGTTCTCAAACCATTTCCCTATATATTTATTGGGAAGGTTTTCATAAAGTTCCTATAACATTTTTTTGAGGGATACAGGAACATTTGTTCAACATTCTTAAAACAATGGTAACCTAACACTTAAAACATAAAAAAAAAAATATTTAGGAATTAAATAAAACAGTCATGATGTTTAATTTCTCCAATTGTCAATTTAGCTTTAAAATCCAAAAATTCTGAGGGTGTGAAAAAATTTGAGTGTTTTTACAACAATACAACATAAAAAATATGCATGTGTTCTTTGTGACAATAATGTTTCCAGTCATTTTTAAACATTTATTATGAATGTCAACAAGTTTAAACCAACTCTGCAACCAACAGAAAATTACTTTGCATTGTACGATTTAAATGAAGAAATATACTTTTTTGATAAAACAGTCAGTTAACAATCCAACATCCTTAGGCACAGCTTCCCCTCTTCAATGTCTGTCCTCAGATCGCGGAAGTGCACTAACCACCTACAAAAAAAAGTGCATTAAATAAACTGGAAACAAATAAACTGTTTTGATGGATTCAACAAATTGACGATTACTAACCTGAATTCCCCTGTGGGGTGCATACTTTAAAGTCTCTGCAACAAAGGCCTGCTGGGCCACTGCCAGATGTATTCTGCAACATGCATCTTAGAAGAATAGAGAAAAATGTATTTTACACTACCTACATATGTCAGGACCACAGCCACATGTCTTGTCCAGTGCTCCTCATGAGGTAACTCTTTTCTCTTTTCTGACCTTTCAACCTAGACATTACCCTCCTACATACGTTTTTATAAACAGTTAGTTGTTGTCTGCAGATTCAGGAAGAGCGCCACCGTTGCTAGGAAACCTGGTCTACTTCCTGTATGTGGTTTCCTGTCTGCTCTTACAGCCTTACACACGTCTCCTCTGTTCTTGCAGCCAATTAAATGGATAACACAAGTAAATCATAAAGCATATGATACTATTACAATGCATATGATACGAACATAAACATGTAGATATATTTACTAATGCAGATTATAATGTCAATCCTAGAATTTCATATGTTGATAAATGTTGATAATCTGAAGCCAAGACAATCAGACCTTACACCCACACACTATTCTCGTGCAGACAGTTTAGTCATCTCAGTATGTATCTGCAAGACTTCCTGTTGCTCTGAGCCTCTGCACCTACTCACAAGCATTTCATGAGCACAGGTCAAGTCTT